TAGTAACGCAGTAACGCAGCGTTCCTACGGGAAAGTAACAGTAATCTATTTACCGTTTTTGCAATAGTAATCCCTTACTTTACTCATTACTTGAAAAAAGTAATCAGATTACAGTAACGCGTTACTGCCCATCTCTGGTCATAAGGACACATGGAGAGAAGAAATGTTCTCCAGTCTGACAACAAATAGAGAAAGAAAGCTGGAGCAGCTGCCAGACAGATGTTACCTGCACCTGCAGCGGTTCAGATGTTTGACCATCAGAATTTATTTAAAACTGATCTCATTACTGACTCATCTGAGTGCTGTTGAAGTCAGGGGTGTTTTGTGGTTAGACTGGCCCATCTTTACCCTGACCTTTGACACCCCGTGAGATGTTGGTTTTAGTTGATTCTATGCTGTTTTATCTTGTTTTCTTTTTTAATATAGGGCTGTTTTAATTTCTATGTATTACGTGTTTTATTTATTTATTTTTGCTGTTTTCTGTTATTCTATTTTTTTCACTTGTTTTCTGTACAGCACTTTGGTCTTGTGCTGGCTGGATGTTAAAGTGCTTTATAAATAAAGTTGGACTGGAAACATACAGCCAAAATTAGATGACCGCTAAATAATAAAAATAGAAAACGTGAGACCACAGATTTTCCTTATTTAACTTATACATAAGCTTCATTTTCTAGAAATAAAGCTTTGTTTTAAAAAGGTGTCCAAATATCCCACCTGGTGCCTCCTGTGTTGTTAATGTGGTGTTATCCAATCAGATGATCAGGAGCTGTCCTTACCTGTATAGACGAAGCGTCCCGGCGCTCCTTTACAGAACTGTTTGGACTTGTAGGACAGCGTGACCTCGACGACTCCGGGGATGTGGCGGGGCGGAGTCTGGACTCGGATAGCGTGAGGGGTTATCAGCTGGAGAGAGAAAAAATAAGAGTTATCATTGTTGTATTGACACACACAATACACAATGTTTGCTATATCGATCAATTATCCAACTGATGGGAAGGGTATTACCTCGCTCCACACCAACATGGTGCCAAAGACGACCTGAAGGCCATCGAAGAAGTTGTCGCCAATGAGGATGACGGTGGCGCCGCCCGTCGTCCACCCCTCGCTGGGACTGATGGCTTTAATGCAGGGAGTGGCTGCTGGACGAGAGACACCAAGAGACACAGAGGGAGAGAGAGAGAGACAGAAGCGTCTCATTAACTGACGCTGCAGTTCCTCTCGTGTCCAGCAGAGGTTCCATGTTAAAACTTTATAGCACAAATGAACCACAGATGCTCAGAAAGCAGAGGACTGGAGCCCTGATTGGCTTTTATTAGGAATCCCAGTGTGAGCCACAGCCAATCAGAGAAGAGAAACTACATTTCAACTCCTGAAATGCAGCTTTCGCAAACATTATTTCATTATTTCAACGTCCTGCATCAAAACATCCACATTTTAAACCAGGCGGCCCATCTGTGAACACTCAGTCTCTTTCATGACCTCTCCGAGGGGTCCAGGCCCACAGGTTGAGAAAGATTGAGCTACATTACTACAGTACTGAAGGTCACACACACACACACACACACTCTCACACACACACACACTCACACACACACACACACACACACACACACACACACACACGCACACACACACATAATGTTAATTGGGTTGTGGCTTTTATCCGCTTTAGCTTAGTTCACTCCAATAACACACACACACACTCAGACAGACACACACACACACACACACTCAGACACACACATATTCAGCCGGTAATGACTACTTCTCTCTCGTCTTTCAAGTGCGGCTGCAGATTAATTATAAAGTGAAATGAAAGTACCGTGTGTGTGTGTGTGTGTGAGTGTGTGTGTGTGTGTGTGAGTGTGGGTGTGTGTGTGTGTGTGTGTGTGTGTGTGTGTGTGTGTGTGTGTGTG